CATTCTCCCTTGCTCCCAAAGGGGTGAGACCAGTGGAGTATCTTAGATGGCTGCTCACAGGCTTTTAAGACCCCAGACGCTACTCACCAAGGTAGAATGCAGAACATTGTCTTTATAAACTGTATTATGCCAACTGAGTTAGATGTTCCCCAAAACCTATTAAGCTTTTTTGTAGTTGAAGAGACCAAGGTTCAGAGAGAAGATAGGTAATAACCTGCCCAGGGATGGCTAGCTAGTAAGTAGAGCACCAGGACTCAATGCCAGGTCTGTGTGACTCCAAAGCTTGAGCTCTAGGGCATCCCTGTGCCTGTCTTCTCCCCATAATGCTGTGCACCCAATGTGTGTTCTGCAGACACAAGCCCGGCTTTGAGAAAGAACGAAAATGATGTGGACATTTAAAACTAGTTAGGTGTTATATCTTATTTGGTGGAGATGCTTTCTTTAAATCCTGCCTAAGTAATACACAAAGCAGGCTTTAAAAAATCTGAAGAAACTGTGGAAAGGAGGAGTGTGCTGTCACAGTATAGGGACAGCAACTAGGGTCACATAACAATGTGTGTATAAATTTTTGTATAAGAAACTAACATGAACTGTAAACTTTCACTTGAAGCATAATTTCAAAACAGGAAAAAAAAATCTGAAGAAACTGACCTTATTATCATTAATATGCCTTGTTTCAATCCATTACCAAAACTTTAGGAATATACTATCTCAAACAGTATTTGACTAGATGCTATAATCTCTATTTTAATACAACAGCTTTGAGTTTATATAAATCTTAAGTAAAATAATCAATATTTTAATATATAATTTTAATTAAAATTAAAAACCATTTTAATAAAAACCAAAAACACATGTTCTGAAGCAATGTCACAAGATACACAAGTTTAGTGGAAAGGCCCAATTTTTAAAAAATGGTTTTATATTGTAAAGGGAAGACTTTGTTGATATGAGCACTTCTCAAGATGGGAATTGGTAGGGGTGTATATTAGAGTTACCTCTTTCAAAGCACCTGACACACTCATCTCTTAGGGACCCACGGTACTGAAGAGTGTGGGTCCCACCTCTCAGGTTAGCTAGTAAAAAAAAGGGTTTGGAACCACTGGCATGTGTCTGTGACTCCTGGCAGGGTTTGTGAGAAGTCACTAAAATACTCCAATTCTCCAAGTTCAAGAAAGAAAAAGACTGTTTGTCCTTTGGCCATAATCCCAAGTTGTTAATAACTAACCACCAGAACAGGTTTAAAGCCTTTCTAATGGATCAACAACTGCACATCAGTGACCACGCTTTTGAGGGATGGTCAGCCGAGAGGCCGCAGCCTTGCTCCAGTGTAAACACTTCCACAACCAAAGGCCAAACAATCCCTCAACACTCTCCTTTCTGGAAGTCCACCAGTCGCTGAGCCACATTTCTCAACAATCTGCTTTGTTTAGAGAGACTGTGCTTTGCAAATATAGCTCTTCCTTGCTTAGCAAGCAATAAATTCAGACATTGAGTGTGGTGGACTCATTCTACAATAGCAGGAAGTGATCCAAAATGTGAGAACTATATGCAATGAAGGCTCACAGCAAAGACAAACAGAAATAGCTTATCAACATACGGAAGTGATGTTCAATTTCACTCAGTAAGAAATGCAAATGGGGCTACACCGAAACTACTGAGTGAAGCGAAAGCTTGAAGAGGAACAGGGTCTATTTACACAGTCTCAAAGTATCTCCCCACAGCCATATCTTAATCACTAAGGCAAAAGGGGGGCTACTTTTATACAGTGGGAAATGTGGCAGGTACCATCTTAGCCAAATGATCAAAGCTAGCACCACATGTCAAATACTGTTTGAGATAGTATATTCCTAAAGCTAGCACTCATTATGTGATGCAGTGATAAAGGCATAACACTGCCCGTGTTGTATCCCTGCCTGAAACACATAACCTAAATCTTATAATTAGAAACACCTGATAAACTCCAGTGGAGGGGGGACATTCTACAAAACTAGCTCATATTCTTCTCAAATTTCAGTGATCTCAAAGACAAAGGCAAAAGAACTTTACAGATTAAAAGACAGTAAGGAGAGATGACAATTAAATGCAATGTGTGATCTTGGACGGGATCTTGGAACAGAAGAAAACTGCTATAAAGGACATAATTGAGACACTTGGTGAAATTTGAATGTGGACTGTGTTTTAGGTAACAGTATTTTATCGATGTTAAATTCCTGAATATGATATTTGTGCTGTGGCTATGTACAATAACATCCTTGTTCAGGACATGTTGTTGCCAACTAAACTCTCAAATAGCTAACGGAAAAACTCATATTCCCTTGGAGGGAGGGAGAGAGGAAGAGAGAATGATAAAGCAAATGTGGCAAAATGTTCAGAACTGGTGGTTATGGCTGTGAAGGGTATATAGGAGTTCTCTGTATTATTTTCACCACTTGTTAGCTCTTTGAAGATTTTAAGAGACTTTGCACTCATTTTACTCATCTTTTCTAGGTGTCTACAGTGGGGAGCAGGGTGGGGGGAAGGTTGATCCAATTTACTTCATCCGCAGCAGAGTGGAGGTTTCAGAGACATACACACAGAATATTAATATTTCCCTCTTCTTGTTTATACTATGCCGGAATACCACCCACACTGTTTTACACCTTGTTTTCCCATCTAACAATACACCTTGGAACTCTGCGCATCTTAGCTTGATGAGCTTTCTCATTCCTTTTTGCAGCCTTGAAGTATTTCATCATATGGGTAGAACGTGCTGTCGCCTATCAATGGACACGTAGGTTGTTCTACCAAAGACACTGCTGTAGTAAATACTCTCATATACAAGTCATTCATGCATGTGTGAATTTATACTGTAGTATGTTTCCAGAAATAGAATTACTCAATCAGAGGGAGTGTTCATTTGTAATTTTGAAATATACTGAGGCTGTAAAGTACATAAAATTTACCTACCAACTATAAAAAAAACAAAACAATAAACAAGTGTGGGGTGGTAAGTGGATGGATGCAGAGGTTAGGTGAGCACGCCTAAATGTTGACAGTTACTGCAGTGGACTGAGGGGTGCATGGGGGTTCATTTACTTAGCATATGTCTAAAATTTTCCTTACAAAAAGTTTCCAAGAAAACTGTTAAAAAAAAGAAAACTGTCGAAAAGCAAAGATGTCACTTTGAGGAACAGGTGCACCTGACCCAAGCCATGGTGTTTTTAATTGCTTCATATGGATACGAAAGCTGGAGAATGAATAAGGAAGACCGAAGAATTGATGTCTTTCAATTATGGTGTTGGTGAAGAATACTGAACATACCATGGACTGCCAGAAGAACGAGTACAACTGACTTGGAAGAAGTACAGCCAGAACGCTCACCAGAAGCAAGGATGGCGAGACTTCGTCTCACATACTTTGGACATGTTATCAGGAGCGACCAGTCCCTGGAGAAGGACATCATGCCACTTAAAGAGACCTTCCCTAACCACCCTATCTGACTGCCCCAATCTCTTCCACTGTATTTTTATTTTCTTTTTTGTACTCATGACCATCTGAAATGGGCTTATTTGTTTAAAATCTCTTCTCAGTATAACTAATGAGACTTACTAGGGTCCTTATTCACCACTATCTTTTGTACCTGGCATATCAAAGGTGGTCAATAAATATTTGTTGAGGGAATGAATGAAATAATTGTAAGTTTGGCATCATTATTGTTGATGTAGTTTGTTGGAGGTTTTTAGGTTAATCCTATGGTATCTGTATCTATGGAATGGAAGCCCCACAGGGCAGTGGATTTATCTTTTGTTCACTGCCATATCTCTGCTGTTGTTGTTAGCTGCTGTGCAGTCAGCCCGAGTCACGGCAACACCATGCACAACAAAACAACACTCTGTCCAGTCCTGCACCATCCCAATGATTGGTTGAGGATGGGACTATTGTGATCCATAGGGTTTTCATTGGCTGATGTTTGGAAGTAGAACACCAGGCCTTTTTTCCTACTCCATCTTAATCTGGAAGCTCCACTGAAACCTGTTCAACATCATAGCAACACGCAAGCCTCTAATGACAGATGGGTGGTGGCTGCGCATGAGGGACACTGACCAGGAATGAAACCTGAGTCTCCTGCGTGGAAGGCAAGAATTCTATCACTGAACCACCAGTGCCCCCTGCCATATCTCTAGAGCCTAGAAAAATGCCTGGCATACAGGTGCTCATATTTGGTGGATGGAGGTTAATTCTGGGCCTTTAATTTTCCAATAATTAGACCGGATGAAGTGTATGTGCTACAATAATTCATTCGTTCCTTTACTACTAAAGCAGAGTATCTACAAACTCCTCTCACCCCCATCTCCTGCCAACACCAGTTTGATTGTATGGCAATACTTCCTTGTCACAGTTTTTTTCAACTGGAGAATTCAAATAGATGGGATAGGTGGATGGGCCACAGGAATTTTGCTCTACCTAAAATTTGTGATCACAGAACATTTTAAGTGTGATGATCCATAGGACACCCAAAGAAAAATCTGAAGAAAAATTGAAAACATAGCTAATTAATGACATATTTAGTGCCATGAAAACCTTGTCTATCTAGCAGTTCAGAGTCTTTAGGTACAGTTTGCTTTGAAACTTACTGTATTACATTGTATTGGTTTCCTAGCAAATATGATGAATTTTAGCCACCACTGATACAAAATTCCATATACAGTATGAATTTCAGCCTCACTCTTCAAAATCTGATAGTAAGTTACTTCTCTTTTAAAAAATATTTTATTTTTGTTGTTGGTGTATTAAGTCATCTCTTATAATTAGCTTAATATTAAACAAATGGTCTTACCCTATGGCACTGGCAAGATCTTCCCAATCTATTTCATTAGAATCTTCCACATTTATTTTATACAACCTACAAGAAAAATTAAAAATTAAGTTTTCAAGAAAAAAAATCAACACAATGGACATTTTCATGGACTCACAGAACATTAAGAGCTGGAAGGGACCAGCACTTTCAGCCCCCATTCCAGCCCCTTCATTCCACGGGCCGTGAGGTCGGCACCCTAGCCCAAGGTAGACTGAAAAGCCAGCTCTCTCCTCCTGAGTCCTCTGCCACTCCTAGCAAACCATTCTGCTTTCTCCTACTCACAAACACAACTTCACCACTCACTGTAGACACAGTAATAGTACATTTGTACTTAGCACTTACTATGTGCCTAACACTATTAAGTCCTTTATATCCACTAACTCATTTACAGTAATCCTCAAAACCACTTTATGAGGTTGGAGGGATTATCCTTACTGTACAGACAAGGAAACTGGAGCTGAGAGAGTAGCTGGCTCAAGGTTACATGACTAATACTGGGTACCAATAACAGAACCCAGGCCTGCCTGACTTGAGATGCCCTCCTCGGATCTGCTGCTCTATGCTGTCTCCCTAGCAGGGGCAAAAAAAGGTGGAGGCAGAGTCAGCCAAACCAGTGTGAAGAATCAGGAAGCACACCAATGAACTTAAATGAGAGCTCATGACAGAGAGCAGGGAGAGGGTGACCAGAATCCAAAAGTTTCTTCTGCTTTGTTATTATTCATTCAACATAAGCCCAGCATCAGCCCAGGTCTCCTAGACGAGCACCCTTCATAAATTAGGCCCACATCTCCCTTTCCCTTGTAGCACTTCAAACACCTCATAGAAGACTCTGCATGGGCCAGGAATGCAAAGACAAAAACAAAAACTTAGCAACAGTGACACCAACAAACGCGTACTTGAGAGCAGCAAGGCTTTACCTGAATTATTTACCTCAATTTTCCAATAGATGGAAATAACGTATCTGTAGAAGAAGTTTCAAGGTCTAAAATAACCACACTGATTGTTTTACACGCACTATTTCATTTCATCTTCCCAGCAACAATACAGGTAGGCACTACTATTATCAGTATCATTTAAGATGAATAGACTGAAGCTTGAGAGATAACATACCCAAGGTCATAGAAGTGCAAAGTTCTGGAACAGAGATTTGAACTTTGTAATCTCCATACAGAGCCTGCTGTACCAACAACTGCACTTTGGCTGGAGAGAAAAGCAGTTAAATATCATCAATTACTATTTCTGTACCTTTCAATAAGGTTGATTTTAGCCTGCAGGGCGTTGACTCCCTGGAATACGCGCTGACCATTAGTCATCCTTTTGGTTAAAACTTCAGTCCTAGATTAGAAAAGAGAAAAATATAATTTACTCTCAGGGGTAAAGTTTGCATTAAAATCTATCACTTGCTCATTTAAATTACCTTCATTCAGAAGCAATTTTTAACTCTTGCAACTCATCACTGCTAACATTTACCACCATTGAGAACACATTTTTTTTTTATAAAAAAAAGCAAGGGAGGGATAAATAAAGTAATAATGATAGAACACTGACGATTATTGAAGCTGGATAATGACATAAGAGGGACTATGTTTATGTGTGTGCTAGAAAATTTCCATAATAAAAAGTTAAGGGTGGGAGGAGAGTAAGCCCATCAGTAGGTGCTTAAAGACACTATGGAAACTCACTTTATTTTTGGTTGTTTTTGAAACAGATGGACATTGCTCTTATTATCATTACCGGCTGTTGGAACACTAAATAAAACAAATTTAGTAAAGGGATAAATGATTTGAAGATTCCTCTACTGCCCAAAGCTAATGGCTGAAGGAAAAGGGTTGAACTGAAATACCCAATGAGAACAGCAACTCAATTAAAAATATTAAAATATTACTTCTGTCGAATAGCAAAATCTGCCACAATTTGGTTGGCAGATCATTAACTCTTACAATTGTGTTCTTAATAACGAAGATACATGATACACATACACACACACACACACAGATAACAGACACTGTTCTTACTAATACCTATTGTGTTTGCAATTTTGAAATGTATCAATCAGTGTCATTTCAATGTTACATGGAGCAAATGTATGCTGAGGCTTCAGATTTCTTATTTCTTCCTCTGAAACTAAAAAAGAAATCTCGCATGTTTTCTTACTTGTGCAAATTGTGAAGCAGCAGTACCCTTAATAATTCTCCCTATGTCCTTTTTTAAAACTGTTTTCAAATTTTTATTGTAAATAGCTTTGATAGAAACTTTTACTTAAATATTTTCTTAATTCCATTCTGACTTATTGTCTTGGGATATATATTGTATTCCAGATGGAGCTAACGGTCAAAGAATTTTGCTATCCACCTTACATATTTTAAGATGTGACATTACATTTTCTTGTTTTTTTTTAACTGTGGCGGAATATGTCACAAAATATTTGCCATTTTGACTATTTTCATGTATAGAATTCAGTGAATTATGTTCATCATGTTGTGTAATCATCACCATTGTGTTTCTAAATTTTTTCATCACCTTTAACAGTAACTCAATACCCCTTAAGCAACACCTCCCCATTTCTCCCTTTCACCTGCCCCTAAACCAAAAAACAACCAAACTCTTTGTCGGTGAGTCGATTCCAACTCATAGTGACCCCACGTATGACAGAGTAAAACTGCTCCACAGGGTTTTCTTAGCTGTAATCTTTACAGAAGCAGATTGCCTTTTCTTCCATAGTGCCACTGGGTGAGTTCAGGCTGCCAATCTTTAGGTTAGTACTTCAGCACAAACAATTTATACCACCCAGGGACCTTCCACCTGTCCCTGGTAACAACTACTAAACTTTGGTCTCTATGAATTTGCCTATTCTAGGTATTTCCTATAAGTGGGATCATACAATATTTGTCCTTTTGTGTCTGACGTCTGTTCACTCAGCATGATGTTTTCAAGGTTCATCCACGTGGTAGCATGCATCAGTATTTCACTTTTCCTTAAGACTAAATAATATTCCATTGCAGAGCCCTAGTGGCTCAGTGGTTAGGAGCCTGGCTGCTAACCAAAAGGTTAGCAGATCGAATCTACCCAGTCACTCTTTGGAAACTGTATGGGGCAGTTCTATTTTGTCCTATAGGGTCGCTATGAGTCAGAATAGACTTGATGGTAATTAGTTGTTTTTTTTTTTATAGGAGTATATCACATTTTGTTTATCCATTCATCTGCTGATGGACACTTGGGTTGTTTCCACTTTTTAGCTATTGTGAATAATGCTGCAATGAACATTGGTGTACAAGTATCTGTTTGAATCACTGCTTTCAATTATTTGGGTTATATACCTAGAAGTGGAATTGCTGGGTCATATGGTAATTCTATGTTTAACTTTTTGAGGACTGCCAAACTTTTCCACAGCAACTGCACCATTTTACAATCCTACCAGCAATGGATGAAAGGTTCCAATTTTTCCACATCCTCGCCAACATTTGTTATTTTCCATTTTTCTGATAACAGCCATCCTAGTGGAGGTGAAATTGGTGGACAAAAACTAGTTGTGGAGTTGAAGTATCTCACTGTGGCTTTGATTTGTATTTCTCTAATAACCAATGATACTGAATATCTTTTCACGTGTTTGTTGGCCATCTGTATATCTTCTTTGGTGAAATGTCTATTCAAGTCCTTTGCCCATTTTTTGATTATTTTTGTTGATGAGTTGTGGGGATATATGCCATTTAAACATGGCTGCACTATTGACAACTGCAGCCCCCACAGGCCTCTATGCTGCACAGCATGTTGAGACGTGTCCCCAACATGTTGAGACTTGTCACGACTTGTTTTCCCAAACCTATTGTCCCTTTACTGATTGGCTTGTTTACCTGAATTCCTTCTCCCTTGCCCGCACCCAAAGCCCATTGTTCTGATATTTGCTTCACTGCTTGCTGTACTGACTATAAATAAACTCCTGGGACTGAAGCTGGGGTTGACTCTTCAGAGTGACCCTCCTGGCCCCACTTCTCTGTAAGAGTTGTGTTTGGTTACTGTCTCCGCCGTCCTGACAACCGTTGCCGCTGCAACAGTGAGTTATAGGAGTTCTCTACGTATTCTGGATAGTAAACCCTTATCAAATATATGGTTTCTAAATATTTTCTACCATTCTGTAGGTTGTCTCTTTACTTTGTTGATAAAGTCCTTTGATGCATAAAAGCCCAATATCTTTTTTTTTTTTTTTTAACAATGATACATCATCCTCCAACTGAGGCTTATAATCCCTGTGCCCCCATACTATAGGTGCAGAAAGGGCTCTAGTTCTTCCCTGCAGTATTTTAAAAACAAAACAGAACAAAACATTATCTGCTCTCTGTAGTTTATTTTCCTGAGTGGTGTCTTCTATTAAAATAAACAAATACCCTACAGAAGAATTATAATGCACATAAACAGCACATTCTAAGAGTCTGCTTTAAAAAATAAACTATGCCTACTTTGGATTTCATTTATATTTGATAATCAAGGATCACGGAGCTCCTTGTATGCATGAGGTATGAGTTGTGCATGTGTAGAGCCACTACTTCAAGAATTCATGCTGCTGCTGAACAGCCAGCTCAGCCATCCTCCAGAGCTTAGAAAAGCTGCATCAGGCAAAGAACACACAGCAAAATCGACTGAAAATATCTCCATGTGACTGGTTTAGCTAAAGGAGTTCTAAAATGAAGAGCATGACTGTCTTACTTTAGATGAAGACAGAAGAACTGACAAATTACAAAGCAAAATAAGCAAGGCAGAGTTATTACTGATTACCATGCTTGTGGTTTCTCTCCTGAACGTTAGTTTCATACTGGGTTTTTTTTTTTTTTTTGGTGCTGCAAACAGGTAACTGCCTAGTTTTACTAAAGGCTTAGAAAGAGACAGAGTTAAGAAACCAGAAGTCAACATTCAGTATTGAAAGGCTCGAGATCTTTATGAGGAATCCACACAATCTTCAATGAATCCCAAGGGCTAGTTAAGTGCTAATTAAAACCAGACACTGAAGTGGCTGGAGAGTGGGCTACACAATTCTTGACATGTAAGGTTTTTCACATAATAGCTACACAGATAGTCTTAGTAACCTTACCTCTCTACTCACTCTGTAGAAATTGTCAAGAAAGAGAGAATATCATCTTGTTGAAATTTATATTAAGAAAACCTTAAAACTTACCACTTACTTTTACACTGCATCCAATTTCTTGTTTCCACTTTAGCTTCTACTTCTACCCAAGATATGCCCTTGTAGAGCTTTTCCCGAACGATTGACAGGCGGCCTTCAGGATCTTCCTGGAGCCTAGAATCTACCTCCTTTAACTCCTGGAGAGACATCTTCTTTAGAATCACTTGTTCAACGGCCTTGACTAGTTTCTGGGTTTCCGTCTTACTCCAAGTACCATGATTTACTTCTATAGAATAAAAGGACAGTCTCAGAGTTGCTAATCTATTTACTTTCCAATACAATATTAACAACTAAATGATAAACTTAGCACTTTTCAGAAGACAATGGGTGGACATCTTAATTACACAAACAAAATTATCAAATACAATCATATGCAAATTAAAATGAAATTACTAAAGTGGTGATCGGTTCTTTTCAAGATTAAAAGCCAGAAGTTATTAAATAACAAGTCCTTTCTTAAAGCAATGTTTTGTTTTGTTTTTAACTTCACAAACAGTTCTTCCAGTTTCTGAGAGCAATGTTTTCTCCAGGAAACGGTGAAACACATAACAGAAAAAAATAATCAAATGACTTTTATATTATGTACATGAGTCTTCCCCCAAAAGAGTTCCTAGTGTAAAATGAATGGCCACCAACGGACAGCAACATAGTACTTAATGATAAATACACCGAAAGAACTTCTGAAACAAATTACCCACGTAGGGTGCCAAAAGCACTTATTTATGGTTTACCGTTCTTGACTACTGACAGTCACGCTAAGGAAGTGGTCTCAAACTGGCAGTCTGCAAATATCTTTGGGTATGAATCATAATTTGGTTCCAACTTACCAATAACATTTAAAAATGAAGAGATTTAAAAAAAAAAAAAAAAAGGAAAGAAATGTAATTTCACAAAATGAAAAAATCTTGAATTTTGCTTTATTTCTTGGAAACTGGAAGAACTGGCCACACTGAGTCTTCACATGGCACAAGTAGCTGGAATTGAGTGGCACAAGACATACAGCCTTCAGCTCGTCACAGGGCCTACCATGCACCGTCCACTCAGATGCACTGTTGCTTAGTGTGCTGTTCATTTGCAGTACCCTGGCTGCTGGAGCATGTGAGCCCCTGTACTAAACAGTAACACCCACTAAGGACTGTCTTTTTAAAGCAGTTGGGGATTTTTTATTGTAAAGAATGTAACCAAGGAAACTATTTTATAAAGAAGAGAAAAAGACAGGTAGGAGATCGATACACTAGTTTTGGGAAAACCAAACCCAAACCCACTGCTGTCGAGTTGATTCTGACTCATGGTGACCCTGTAGGACACAGCAGAACTGCCCCAAAGGGTTTCCATGGCTGTAAATCTTTACAGAAGCAGACTGCCATATCTTTCTCCCACAGGGCAGCTGGAAGGTTCAAACTGCCAACCTTTCAGTTAGCAGCCAAGTGCTTAACCACTGTGCCACCAGGGCTCCTCATATTGGGAGATGTGCTCCCTAAACCGGCAACTGAGCTGCATCCCTCCCTCCTTCCATGTCTCCCAAAGTCTCCCTTGACACCTCAGGGAAGCGACCTCCTCTGTCCAGTCTCTCCTGCTGACCAGCTTCCTTGGGTATGGCTCCACTGGGCAGTTATATTTGTGGTGAAAGTTACTAAACTTCTACCCAAGATATGGTTAAAATCAGTCTTGTGAATTAGGGTTCCATGGTTTCATCAAATAAACACGAGGAAATGAAATGAGTCAGTATACAGAATGTCTTTTAAAATGCTAACTCTGCTAGAAGACAAGCCTGAAATAATTTCTAGGCACTGGATCAGCTTGCGGGCTGAACCAGGCCTGTAGGGGCTGATTTATTCCCCGAAGTGGAAGCTACAGACGGCCACTTACGATTGCTGATCTGGGAGTACTTCAGGGCAACAGACAGGCTACTCCGGGCCACCATCTCACCAATCTTTTTCCAGTCATTTCCATGGAGGGAATGGTATAGCTTTACCTTCTCAGCATCTCCTTCACTATACCTAAGAGGAACAGAAAACATATTCCATTTTTGAATTAACGACAAGATTAAAAACTATATTCTCATTGCAGTACAATGGAACAAGCCGAGTAGGGAGGGAAACCAGGAAACCTGGTTCCAGCGCCAGTACTTCTGATGCCTAGAACTAGAACTCGTATCACTTCATGTCCCTTCGTCTCAACTGGGTTCATCCTATAAATTAATAATCACAATCCCAGCCCAGAGACCTGGCTCAGTTTCACAGCAGCCAGAGGAAACAAATTGGATCACATTACTTCCTATGCAAACCCCAACGGCTTTGCATTACATGTGCAATAAAACACAACTTTTTGAAGTGTCTCCAAAGCCTGTGCTCTTCACAGTTCAGCCACATCAGCCTTGTTTTAGCTCTCTCACCTCCAAGCCTCTGTACTGATGGTAGAAACAACCTTCCCTCCACTCTGCCTGGATAACTCCTACAAACCCTCAGAATACAGTTTAAATGGCATTTCTTCAGAGAGGCCTTTCCTGACTACCTTAACTTAAGAAGGTCCCCATTTTAATTACAGAATATTGTGCTTCTCTTTCATAGCACTGAATACAATTTGCAATTATATATTTATAGGTTCCCTTGCTTATTCATCTCTTCCTCTAGAGCAGCTCTGTCCAATAAATACAATGTGAGCCACAAATGTAATTTTAAATTTTCTAGTAGTCACATTAAAAAAAGTAAAAAAAAGGTGAAATTAATTTTAATAATATATTTTACTCAAACCAATACATAATATTATTTTAACATATAATCAATATAAAAAGTATTAGATACTTTATGTTCTTTTCTTCATACCAAGTCTTCCAAATCTAATATGTATCTTATCTTACAATGCATCTCAATTTGGACTAATTACATTTCAACTGTTCATGCAATTTTCTCTGCTTTCTGGGTGGCTACCATACTGGATGACGCGGCAGTAGAGGGTGAGTTTTATAAGGGTGGCAACTTTGTCAGTTTTGTTCACTAACAAGTCTATAATGCTTGACAGGCAACAGACATTCATTAAATAGCCAATGAATGGCTTAACACAAACAGATAAAACTATCTGAGACATTTTTAAGGTGCATTAATACCACATAAAAACAAATGTATTAAAAAACTCAAAAAAGCACTATAATATTATTCAACAAATTTGAGATTAACCACCAGAAATGTTTACGTGAAGAAAAAGCAATCTATGTGAGATCCCAAGACTCCTAAACATCAATTGGGAAGGGGAGCTATGCTATTACCAAGGGCAATACAAAAGAAGCCCTAGCAAAATACTAATGGTCTCTGATGATAACAATCCAGAACTAATTCATGAGAATAACATCCTAACGTTTTCGGAAATTCATCTATAAATGCAGAGTACGGTCAATAGAGACTCATCATCCTTGATTATTAAAATCCATGGGTTTCAAAAAGTACTACTTTCTAGTAGTTTTCTTTTCCAAGCAATCAAGGTCCTTCTGGTATAAAGAATGACTTAAATGGACCCTCGAAGAAACAGAGTAGAGTGTGTAAGAGAGAAAGTGAGTGTAAAAAGTGGGGAGACTAGTGTATATTGACTTCCAAAGTCCCTCAGATTCTTTGACTTTTTTGACTTTCTACTTTTTATCAGTTAATAATTTTTTTTATTGTGCTTTAGATAAAGGTTTACAGAGTGAATTAGTTTCTCATTAAACAATCAACATACATATTGTTTTGTGACATTGGTTGCCAACCCCGCGACATGTCAACACTCTCCCCTTCTTGACCATAGGTTCCCTATTTCAATTCGTCCAGCTTTCCTGTCCCCTCCTGCCTTCTCGTTCTTGCCCCTGGGCTGGCGTGCCCATTTAGTCTTGTGTACATAGTTGAGCTACATGTATTGTTTTCTCAGTTAAAAATTTCTTAAGTTAGAAAAATATTCTCAGGACAAATGATTATGACACCACAAATGATATGGCATAAACAAAAGGAGCTTTTTAAAATTACTAGAATGACAGACTTTTATTATTCCAAAAATTTCATTCCACTGCAATTAAAAAAACTTTATTGAAAAAAAAATTTCATTCCACATCTGTCATAGGTAGAGAAACATGTTACCTGGGCTGCCACCATCAATTTACCAAAAGCATTTTTTTCAAAAAATAGTTAAAAGCATTCTTTCAAGTTGGATTTAAAATGTCGTCTCTAGTGAATTTTCTTAGAGCTCTGTTCACAACTGTTTAACCTTGCGGTTGGAAAAAAAGGGTATAGCAAGTTTCAGTTTCCGTGTGGGAACGCTTCTCTACATAAGGTTTTCTTTCTTTTTGTAAAAAATTTAAAAACAGGAAAGAAACCAAGGTCATATCAATGTCTGAAGTTGAGATAATGCGTATGTTTTGATTTAAAGTCACATAGATGAGTAGAACTCCTAACCCTGCCAGAAGACTGCTATAATTTACTAAACGTGCCTCCCAAAGTAAGATAAAGTAGTTGAGACAGTAATTGTTTGGGCCCTATGAGGTGGGAACTGATGCTTTCTTGCTTATCCCTTTGTCCTTGAGCATAGTGCTTATCCACAAACCAAACAAAACCAAACCCACTGCTGTCAAGTCGATTCCGACTCATAGCAATCCTATGGGACAGAGTAGCGCTGCCCAATAGGGTTTCCAAGGAGTGGCTAGTGGATTCAAACTGCTGACCTTTTGGTTAGCAGCCAATCTCTTAACCACAGCACTACCAGGGCTCCAATAGCAGACACTTACTCTGCATTTTTTTCTTTGCAATGTTGGAAATGAATTATGGTTGGATATTTTATTGGAGGGCAGAAGGAAGAGGGAATTAGAATAACCAGATTAAGCACTCTGCCTTAACACTACTGAATCACACGTAAATGATCTAATACTAGTGTTTACCTGCACCTTCAAATATGTGCTGAAAACCCAAACAGTTGTGCTAAGTGCTAAAAGGAACATCAGACTGAGAAGGAATGTTTGGGTTCATAAGGAGCTTACAATTTGGTAGACAGCAGAGAAAATTGCCTGAGTACCAGTAAGAAAGGCGGAGTATGTTATATGCTAAAATAAAGGCAAAAAGGAAAAGCTAAGAATTTGGAAAAGAGATTAAAAACCTTTAAATGAAAATGGCCTGTAGAGACATACACGTGACAACAAATATATCTTCTGGTTTCACACACCAAAGAATCTTCATAACTTTTACTTTAAATTTATTACTGTGGATATTTTTATTGATAGTATTGTCAAAGTCTAAAGAAAATGTTCTCTCAAGCTGCTAAGACCTTTTCCTTACCTGCCTTTGTAATTATGGATATCAAACATCTTCTTTGCTCTATAGTATACTAGTTTCCAAGGCCGAGCAATGCCCTTGCCTAAAGTCAAAAAGAAAGGTAGTCAGATGACACACATTTTAATTTTTTTTTTAAAAAAGGGAGCATTTCAGAGCATGGCACGAAAGAGAGTCACATTTATAAAAGTAACCCAAACAAACTCTTTTTAACAACACTATCCTAAACCCCACATTAAGGTTGGGATTTCATGTGTTTTGTATAAAGTTGTCTTGCAGAGCAGATGCACAAAATACCAGTTTCCTTGGAGATCTTTCAAATCTAAATGCTTAGTACCTAAAGGCCCCAGATTCTGCTCTACTAAATTCATGGAAAAGACCCTTATAAGGCAAAGTAATTTTAACATAATTTCAAATAAGAGAATAACTAAGAAATTATCCTTTTTAAAGTCAAAGGAGATTTTCTTTCAGTCTGATCCCATATTACTTCATGACCTTATAACCTTCTAATCATCACCTCCAGAAGGAGGGTTCTAGCTATAAGGCACACATATGGCTACATTAAAAAAAAAAAAAAAGGGAGACCAAGGTACATATAAGAATGTGCTTTGTGAAGTAAAAAAAAAAAGTAAATAAACAAGAAAAAAAATACAAAACTACATTATTAAGAAGAAAAGACAGAAGTTGATTGTGCAAATTTTCATAAAATCTGTAAAAGCACCATATATGGGCGATCGGAATACATTCTAAATCCCTGAAAGTGTAGGCTAGCAACAATAAGAATACTATTAACCACAGCAGCAGTTAACATGCATTGAAGGCACGGAATAGGCCAGGCATTGTGCCAGGGACTATTTTACTTACCATGGGTGATCTCGTTTACTTTAAAGTTATAAGATTATAGATACAGATGGTCAGAGAGTGAACACTTCTAAACTTACTAATGCGCAATCTAAATGCATATTTTCGTTTTAAATCGGTGATCATAGATTTCTCCTCTGGGTATCTGTCAGTGTGCAGCAGCTTGTCTGCAGTCTCAATTCCTGTCAGGGACAGAAATTCTTGTACGTTTTTTTCTAATTGTTTATTCTCCTTTACGGAAAACTTGCCAAATTTAATAGAAACACCTAGGATTGAGGAAAAAAAAGTATATTATTGTCAATAACGAATAAAAGTAAACCCACCATCTGATCTTCAATGGGAATTACAACACAACACAACATCCCCGCCTTCCTGTCAGGGAGCCAGTCTTGGCCATGTGCCTGACTGTTCACTCTCCCATCCTCTACTTATGGTCCAGCGTCTTTCAAAGTTCTGCTCAAGCCATACCTCTTCTCCCAAGGCCTTCTCTGGTCATCCTATTCTGAAGTGATGGTTCCTTCTTCATAAATGTTTTAAAATTTTTATTTTATTTTTAAAATTTATTGTGGTAAAATATATATATAACACAAAATTTGCCATTTTATGCATACAATTCAGTGCCATTAATTACATTCACAATGTTGTGCAACCATCACCACTATTTCCAAAAGTTTTTCATCACCCCGGTAAGGGAGAAGTTCATGGAGCCTTTTTGACCAGAACTAAATGACTGAATTAAACTGGTCTTTCTACATAGCTGCCCAGACTCTTTATTTGCCTAGCTGCTCTCAGCAGAGTCGACCCAGACTTTTCACAGGCACCTGCCATTTGGCTCCTTAATTGCTAGTAGCCATGGGTACTGAGGGAGTGTTTCTCTTCTCAGTCAAGTAGGATGTTAAAGAAACACACTCTAAGGAAGGGGATCTTGACACAGGTGATTTCTTGTGTAAAGTAGGCCTAAGAAATGTTTCTTTATGATGAGGATGTAATAAAAAAAAAATTGCTTTGAAAGGGTCCTGGAGCCAGCATTACCTAAGGTTTCCCAGACAACTGAACAGGGTTTTGTTTCAACAAGCTATTTCTGGGAAATGAGGTCCTGGTACCAAACGGTTATCACAAATCCCTGAGAGAGTTAGAGCTGTTTCACATCAACCAATGATGTTTTTATGACCCCTCCTGAAGGATACTAACTATGATTGAGAACCTCTATAATTACTCCCTGAAATCAATCACTGTAAGCTTCTGTACCCAATTATCCAATAGAAGCCCATTCCCCGCCTCCTAACTCATCCTTCTTGTGCCCTTAACCAAAGACTAACCAATGAAACAATGTGTATTATGATTTCTTTGTTCCTTGGACTATATCTGTTCCTGTTTGAAGCCCTCTCACTGGAGTCATCAGTTCTCACGTGAACTGGTGTCTCTCTGTATTCAAATGTACCTTTCTTTCTTTTTTTTTTTTATTGTATAAATTCTCCTAATCTTGTTTTAAGGACTGAGTTGTTTTGTTCTCTGCAACACCCCAAACAGAAACTTAGTACCTGTTAAGCAGTAACTCCCCATTTCTCTCTCTCACCTGCTCCTGGTAAATACTAATCTACTTTTTGTCTCTATGAGTCTACCTATTCTAGATATTTCATATAAGTGGGAATCACATCATATTTGTCCTCTTGTGTCTGATTTATTTTGCTCAGCATGTTTCAAGTTACACACACATTGTAGCATTTGTATTTGGACTTCATTTCTCTTTATAGCTGAATAATATTCCATTGTATGGATATACCATATTTTGTTTATCCATTTATCTGATGGACAGTTGGGTTGTTTCTACCTTTTGTGAATAATGCTGCAATGAACATATCTGTTTGAGTTACTGCTTTCAATTCTTTTGGTTATATACCTAGGAATGGAACTGCTGAGTCATTCAGTAATTACATGCTTAACTTTTTGAGGAAGTGCCAAACTGTTTTCCACAGTGGTTGCACCATTTTACATTCCTACCAGCAGTACATGAGGGTTCCAATTTTTCCACATCCTTGCCAACACTAATTTTGTTTTGTTTTGTTTTTTAAATAATAGCCATCCTCGTAGGTGTGTGTTTTTGTATTGAAAAGTAATACACGTTCATTAAAAATTCAAACAGTGTTGAAATAAAGTTTAAGAGAAGCCTCCATTTACTCTCCTCAGCCATACTACTCTCATTCCTCTTCCTTGCCTCCTCTACCAGAAGTTAGGTAGGCAAAGACAAAAACTAGAGCACTTACTTTTGCTAATCTTACAGCTCTTATAAAAACTCTGGTAGAAGATAAAGCTGAAAGAAGCTGAAAGACACATCTTGTCAATGGATAAATTTTAATTATTCATAAAAGAAAGTTAAGTGCTAGTTATATGAAAAAATCAACAAATATTAAACTTCTACAAGCTTACCTTGTGCTTTAAATTCTTTAAACCGTTCGAAGTCATCCCGATACATTCGCTTAATTGTAGTGGCAGCCCTTTCCTTTATATCAGGAATAAATTCCTGTAGCTGCTTCACAGCAGAACCCAAATCCACATCTGAATCATCTGAATCTCTTGAATCATCAGACAAATATGTTTCAGAATGTCTACCTGATTCCAAATTGCTTTCTTCATTTGTATAGTCTAACCTAAGAGAAAAAATTGGATTGATAAACATTAACATATCACTTGCCCTAAAATCTTTTAAACTCTTTTATTAAAATGACTCTCACACTACTACAAAGTGTTAGGGCTGGAAGGGATCTTGGAGCTGATTCAGTCTATAATTTGCAAACTCTTTCAAGAAATTTTAATTACTTGGATAAATATTTCCACACTACATACACACCTCTTTTATCAACATGGTTAGGTTCCAAAGACCAGGTTGTTATCCAAAAATTAGAGTTATGTGAAAATGGAGGATTTTCCCCCCATTTTCAGACCATCTATTTGTCTAATTTTTTTTATTTAGAAAATATGATCATAGAAATAATAAGAGCTAAGATTTACTGATCTGCTCATCACTGTGACAAGTCCAAACTAAAAAAACAACTAATCTTGTTGCCATTAAGTTGATTCCAACTCATAGCAACCCTATGGCACAGAGTAGAACTGCCCCATAGGGTTTCCAAGGAGCACCTGGTGGATTTGAACTGCCGATCTTTTGGTTAGCAGTCGAGCTCTTGTGATGAGTCCAGTTATGGATTATTCCTCTGCAGAGAAAGAGGCTTGGAGAAGACAAAGCTGGATAAAGCCGGGCTGTGTGACTGGAGGGCCCACAGCTTAACCACTTCATCATCCTCCTGTGCTACATCACAGCTTCCCTCTTAGAGCCGCCTCCAGGGCTCCACTCCCACCCCTGTAAGCCCTGCATTCAGGATCCCAGAGCCTGCTCTGCCCTCTGGGCCTGGCCAGTCACGGAAGCTTGAGGCATCCTGCGAGGGTGCTGAGAGCCACGCATCCCCTAGGCAGAGGCTTCAGGCCCAGTTCTGCTCACTTTGGGATGTCAATAAACTTGCAAGCATTTCTTCCAAACACCCCTAGATGCCTCTTTCTTTCCTCCCTTCCCACCCCATAGCAATTCTGAGCTGCAGGGCCTCAGGCCACAAAAGAGCTGAGAACCTAGAAGAGGCGCTTGCTGGTTCAATGCTGCCTGCCAGTCCACACAGCCCCACGCGTGCGGCAGTGGGACCTGGCACACCCGCCAGTAGAAGGGAGTGGAGGGCGCAGGGCAGTGTGGTCCAGCTTCCCAGAGGCGACCTGGAGACTCTCCTTGAGGGAGAGAACGCTCTGTAACCATTGCTGCCATGCCTGCCATCTCATTAACGTACAAAATGGTCAGATAGTATTTTTTACTACATCATAAATGTGAAATGTCGGATAATGAGAGAATAGATAAGTGAGGAATAGGTGTATTATTTTTCAAACCAAAGCCATAACATGCCTAGTTTAAAAAAATCAAATAATCCTGAGGTGGAGCCAAAATGGTGCTACAGACAGAAGCACCATGCTGTCCCTCCACAGCAAAGACCAAAAAACTAAATAAAACAGAGACAAAGATCAATCCTGGAACCCTAAGCATCAAAGGAAGAGATAAAGCACACAACCAAGCACCAAATGGAATAAGATAACTGACAGAGAACAGAGAGCGAGGACAGTTATGAGCGTAGGTCCCGTATCAGCAAATGTAGCACAGATCCACCATCCTGGACTCCTGTCAGAGATCGGCGAACAGGGAGTAAAGGAAAGCAGAGTCACAGAGCTCCCAGCAGGAGGTAACTAGCGAAACCGCTTTCCGACCCCCTACTTTGCCTCCCCCAGCTTGACCTTTGCCGCCTCCCAACAGGCCAATCCACAGCTCCTGGCTGGCCGATCTGCCGCTTCCCAATGGGCTGCAACAAATGGCACGAGAGGCGCTGGTTATGTGCCCTGCGAATTCACCCTGCCCACACCAGCCAGCTTCTTCAGTGCCATTTCTTTGTTGCTAGTGTTGCTTTTTTCAGTCTCTTTTGGTTTCTTCTCTGCCTCTCACCTCCTCCCTCTCCTTTCTCTCGAACACCTGACTCAGTGTGCCATCTTTGCTTCTTCTTGACAGGCTGTGAAGCACTGCTTGGCTGGGGAACTGCTTCCCCAGTCCTCGCTGCCACGCTGGTGGGATCCCTGGGGGCTTTTTCTTTCTTTCTTATTTGTTTGATTTCTCTTTCTTTTTTCCTTTTTATTTTTCTTCATTTCTCAATTTCTCATCTTTTTCTACTTACCTTCTTTTCCCATCTCCTGAATACCTAGCACTGTGTATCATCTACATCCCTTCCAGCTGGGCTGTACTGCATGGCTTGGGAGCTGCTTCCCTGGTCTGCACAGTGGCGCCAGTGGGATCCCTGGGGAGCATTTTTCTTTTTATTTATTTATTTCTTCCTTTTTGTTTTTCTTCATTTCTCGGTTTCTCGTCTTTCCACTCCAACAGCAGGCTCCCTCAACACTTTTTGTTTTCTGGCTCCTGTTCATCTCTCCTCTCTTTCTTTCCCATACTTAACCTAGCTTCACACATCACAACCTCCTCTTCCCCCTCCCTCCTGCCTATCTGCACCGTGTGCTGAACACTGCACTACTGAGTAGCACAGGGACAGCCTACCGGAACCTGCCCTGCACTGACCCCTGGCTCACCTTGCTGGCCCCAGTATGTGCCACAAACAACCTATCCCAGCCCCTTCCCTTCAACTGGAACTGCCCTGCTGCACCATAGCTGAGTGACTAGCCCTGCCCATTTGACAAGGAGGTGAAAAATATCGTGTCCACAAATGAGCGAACAACGAAGAATCCACAGCCCATCTGTGGAATAAAACAAAAGAGAAAGACAAAACAAATCTACAATCAATAAATGAAGAAAATAACTACTGAATGTCCCAAAGACAGCAGACAATATCAAAACATAAAAAAACAGGACAGGATGGTTCCAGTAGGCGTCCAAGATAAAACACCAGATGACTTTCCAGTAGAAGAAAAGGCACTGGAACTACCTGATGGGGAACTATAATCACCAATATTCAGAGCTGTCCAGGAGCTGAAGCAAAAAGCAGACAAAAATGAGGAAAAAATGGACAAATTCATGGAAAGGGCAGACAAAATCACGGAAAATACAAAAAGGTGGAATAATTCGGGAAAACGGTATAGGAACAAAAGCCAAGATGAACTCACAACTAAAAATCATACAAAAACGACAGTAGGAAATCCAGAAGATAAACAACAAGATTTCAGAAATGGACAGTGTCATAGAAGGGCTGAGGAGCAGGTCTGAAACAGTGGAGGACAGGATCAGTGAAGCTGAAGACAAACACTTGGCTACAACTTTGAGGAAAAATCAGAAAAAAGAACGAAGAAAAATGAAGAAACCCTGAGAATTTTGTGGGATACAATCAAAAGCAAAAATTTGCGAGCAATCGGAGTTCCAGAACAAGGGGAGAAAATGGAAAACGCAGAGAGGATCATTGAAGAATTGCTGACAGAAAACTTCCCTAATATCATGAAAGATGAAAAGCTGTCCATCCAAGAAGCTCAACGAACCCCATATAGGATAGACCCCAAAAGAAAAATTACCAAGGCATATCATAATCACACTAGATAAAACCAAAGACAAAGAATCCTGAGAGCAGCTCCAGAAAAACAAAAAGTCACATACAGAGAGGAAACAATAAGACTAAGCTCTGATTACTCAGCAGAAACCATGCAGGCAAGAAGGCAAAGGGATGACATATATAAAACCTTGAAAGAAAAAAATTGCCAATCAAGAATAATAAATCCCTCAAAACTCTCATTCAAATATGATGGTGAAATTAGGATATTTCCAAATAAGTAGAAATTAAGGGACTATGTAAAAACCAAACCAAACTTGCCAGATACCAACCTAGGAAACGAACTCTCAAGGACTATTCAAAACCAAAAGATTTACAACAGGGAACTAGAGAAGTTAATCTGCAAAAGACAACATCAGAACAATAAAAGAGGGAATAAACAGTGTAGGTATAGAACTTTCTAATGGAGAGGAAGGCAAGGCGATAACAAGTAATAATAGACTGGTTCCAAGATAGGAAGGTAAGGGTAAATTTCAAGGTAACCACAAAGAAAGTTAACAAACCTACTCATCAAAATAAAGAAGAAAAACATGAAGTCTCAGTAAAAATAAAATCTACAAAAACAAATTAAAACAAAAAAATCCACAAACAAAAGGAATTCAACACAGGAGAGTAAGAGGAACAAAGAAATAGTTAGCACCACAAAAAAAGCACTACAAAATGACAGTAATAAAATCACACCTATCAATAATTACACTGAATGTAAATGGTCTAAATGCACCCATAAAGAGACATAGAGTGGCAGAATGGATGAAAAAACAGGATCCATCAATATGCTGTCTACAAGAGACACATCTTAGAAACAAAAACATAAATTTAGTAAAAATCAAAGTATGCAAAACAACATATCAAGCAAACAGCCACCAAAAAAGAGCAGGAGTGGCAATATTAATCTCAGATAAAATAGATTTTAAAACAAAATCCACCATAAGAGACAAAGAAGAGCACTATATCATGAAGACATAAACATAACAAATATCTATGCACCCAACAACAGGGCTCCAAAATACATAAAATAAACTTAAACAGCACTGAAAAGAGAAACCAACAGTTCCACTATAATAATAAGGGACTTCAACACACCACTCTCGGTAAAGGACAGAACATCTAGAAAGAAACTCAACAAAGATACAGAAGATCTAAAGCCCCCAATCAGCCAACGTGAACACACAGACATATATAGAACACTCCAGCCAACAGCTGCAAAGTACACATTCTTTTCCAACCCACATGGAACGTTCTCCAGAATAGACTACATCTTAGGCCATAAAACAACCCTCAACAAAATCCAAAACACTAAGATAATACAAAGTATCTTCTCTGATCACAATGCCATCAAAGTAGAAATTAACAACAGGAAGAGCAAGGAAAAAATCAATTACATGGAGGAGGCAGGGCCAAGATGGCGGACTAGTCAGATGCTTCCAGTGGACCCTCTTACAACACAGACCTGAAAAAACAAGTGATTCGATTATATATGGCAATCTGGGAGCCCTGAACATCAAAGGCAGAGCTGAGGA